AAATCAGCAGATATTTGAATTTATATTTAGCTTTTTTTTTTTTTTTTTTTACATTTTATGAACTTTACAATATTCCTTCATTTTCAAAAAAAAATTCTTGCTACATTTTTTAAAAACAGATTTCTAATAAAAGTTCAGTTTGGTTTTTTTTAAGTTCAACGATTTAGTGTTGTTTAACAAATTGTCTTGTTTTGTTAAATTACAAATAATAATTAACAAAATTAAGAAAAATCTGTTGATTTACATGTTAGCCATTAAAAAATAAAAAATAAAAAATTATAATTCTAATAATATGAAGGGTTGAAAACATTTGGATAAATACACAAACATTTAAAATGATAACTTACACATTTTTTCCTTGTTTTGGTAAATTATCGACTAAAATCACGGAGAAAAAGGAATTTTAAATCAAATGTATTTATAAAATTAGTCATTTGTTTTTATTATCAGCTGAAGAAGGTCATTATTTCCTCAAACCAAAGCAGGATGATGATGTTTAGTGACTCCAGATGTCTGGTTAGAGGGTCAGGGCTGCTGGTTGATGCTAAACTGCTACGTGATGAAGTCTGGAGCTCTGAGGAGCTCAGGAACCACATAGAACTGGGTTTTAAATGCACAACAAGCAGCTTTAAACAAACGGACCCCAGACATTCAGAGTCTGGCCTCTCTCAGGTTTAATAAATGACTGAGAGTTCGTTTCCTGTGAAGTGACGGAAACTTTTCTTTGTTTTTCACAGTTTTCCTACGACAAGCATCAGGAGGTGAACGTCTCCTTCCACATCAAGCAGAGCGACTCGGAGAAGAAGATCGACAGCACGCTGACGGGTCCGACACGCTCGGTTCTGTGACGTTCTGAAGCTGGTTCCCGGTTCCTCCGGCCTCTAACCTCCTCCTCTTCTCTCCACAGTGGTTCTGTACAACTGCTCGGTGGACCGGGAGGACTGCAGCCTCTGCAAACACGCCGACGCCAAGTACCAGTGCGTCTGGTGCTCGGCCACGCGCACCTGCGTCTACCGGGAGCTGTGCCCGGCGCCGCAGCCGGCCCGCTGCCCCGACCCGGAGATCACCGACGTGAGTCTGGACCGGGACGAGTGGCTGATGTGTGGGGGTCTGCTGGGACGGAAATAAACTAAAATACGTAGAGAAACGGTGGAAGTCTGGTAACGAGGACGCCAGAACTAAAAGTTAGAGATGAAGGAAAAGTGTGACGATAATAAAAAATATGTGTAAAATAAATTATTAGCATTAACATTATTAGATACGTTTAAAAAAACAATTATTGTTTGTACAAGTTAGTATTTTAGTTGTGGACATTATTATTATTATTATTATTATTTACAATTTTAGTGAATTTTGTGCATTTTTTTTGGGTGATTTTACCAGAAATCATCTGTAATTGAACAAAACAACAGTTAAAACAAATATTTGCTGTTTTTCAGTCCTTCATTTACAGAATTTATCAAATAACATCAAATACCTGGAAGTAGAGAGTATTTTTATTTTTTATTTTTTTAATAATTGAATCTAAATTTTTTATTTTACAGATGATGTCCAGAGATTGGGGAAAAAATATTGTTATTTTAGATATTTGTTAATTATAGATTGGGGGAAAAAAACAGAACCTTTTTTTTTTTTTAAATCATTTTGTAAAATACAATTTTACAGATTTTCTCTATTTTGTGAATATTAATTATTTATATTATTAATTTGCAAGTAATTTACACAAAAAAAGGCGAAAATTTGAATAATTTCCACGTCAAAAAATTGTATTTTTAAAAAAAATATATAATAATTTTCTAAACCATTATTTTACACATTTTCCCTGTTTTGGTAAATTACAGATAACATCCAGTAAAATCACTGAAATAAATCATTAATTTATATGTAATTTACCAAAAATAAAAGGGCAGAACTGCTTCATGAATCTGTATTTTTACAAATAACAGTTTGTTCTTTTACATTCATGACCATACAATCACACCACTTGCTTCCAAACAATCCGTTATTATCAGCAACCAGAGAAGCAGATTTTATCCTGAATATCTTTAAGATGTTTTTTTATTTAATGTTCAGTATTTTAATGGAGACACATAAATGAACTGATTTATTCCTCTGTGTGATGAACTTATTCAGCTTTAAACAGCATTAATGTGACACTACAGAAGTGTAGTTTCAGTCGATCTCTGAGGATAAATAACGGACGAGCAAAATCCCTGCGTCTGTCAGATTCATCAGCTGAGTTGTTTCTCTTCATTCTGTCGCTTCATCTGCGTCTTTAGATCACATTCTGAATCCATGCAGCTCCGTTTCTTCCTGTTTCTTCCTGTTTCCTCCGTGTCGTTTGCTTCCTTTGTGCTGCAGCTGATGAGGTCGGAAGCTGTTTCCTTAAAAGCTCGACGGGAACGAGACGCGTTAAAGACGAGTTCAGTCGTCGCGTCTGATCGGAGACGAACTCCTGCAGCTGGTTAGAAAAACGCAGCTTTCACTTGATGACTCGTCTCCACTGGAGGTCTCACGTCCATGTCGAGTCTCAGGATGCAGCAGAAGACTTTATTCCTTTGTTGAAGAGGTCAAAGCTTCAGCAGCTCTCGGAGTATCGAGGTCATCTCAGCCGTCAGACCTACAACAGGTTCAACAACTGAGCCGCCGAAGTGTCGACCTCTTTAGACGTTGGTCCTCCTCCAGCTCCTAGAGCGAGGGGACGTCATGCCAGAAAGCTTTGACATTCAGCCTCGTTTTAGTCTGAGTTTGTGTAAATTTATGGTCATCTGGAGCCAAATATCGACCAGCTGGACTCATCTTCTGATGCAGATCCGTTCATATGAGGACTAATTTAACCCTTTGAGAATCCACATCCGCTCGCTTTAAAGTGTTTTTTGTTGCTAACATCAATAAAACTGCACAACTTGGCCGCTTGTTTGTCTTTACAGCGAAGCCTGACTAA